CTTAAAAATAGTACAGACCCAGGGGCCAGTGGCTCAAGAGGTTAAGTCTCAGCGCCATAAAGCTGCCCACAGTCACTGCAGTATGAGTTCGATCCCCAGCCAGGGAGCTGACCCACATGGCACAACAGACCTCTCCTTTCTCACTCTCTACTCCCCTCAGCAGTGTATTTCTGCCAGTTTTCCTGTTCTGCTCCCCCCTCTGTCTCTGGTGACTCCTTTCAGGCCCCCACACCTCTGGCCTACATTCCAGATGTATTCATAAATAAATAAATCTTTTTTAAAAAATAGTGCAGCCCCTGGCCCTCCCTGGTGGCGCAGCGGGTTAAAGCACTGCACTAAGAAGCTAAAGCCACTTCCGCATGAGTTCGATCCCCGCCTGCCCCGGAGGTGACCACATGGCGCGGCAGACCTCTCCTGACCCGCCCACTGCTCCCCTCAGCAGTGTACTTCGTCGTTCTGCCTGTTCTGCTCCCCAGTCTATCTCTGGTGAGGCCTCTCACCGCCCCTGAGCCTCTGGCCTGTATCCCAGTTCTGTATGCGCAAATAAATAAATCTTTAAAAAAAAAAAAAAAGTGCAGCCCCTAATCAATGAGTTGCCTCAGAGGTCTAGTAGCAGCTCCTCCTGGAAGTACCTAGCCTCTTGATATTCCATGAAAAATAATAGCATTATGTAGGGCCTTTATGGTGGCACAGACGTTAAAGTCTCAGTACCATCAAGCTATCCACAGCCACTGCAGCCCGAGTTTGATCCCTGACCAGGAAGCTGACCCATGTGGCGCAGCAGACCTCTCCTGTCTAACCCAGTGCTCCCCTCAGCAGTGTATTTCATCTGCCTGTTCTGCTCTCCCCTTTGTCTCTGGTGAATCCTTTTACCTCCCCCCCACACACACACACCTCTAGCCTGTACCCCAGTTCTGTATGTATAAATAAATAAATCTTAAAAAAATATTACCTACCTCAGTGGATTGTGGGAATAAACTAAGATAATGCAGGTAAAATGTTTAGTACTGTGGGTGGTGCGCAACAAACCTTCAACACTGTTTACTAATACCGATGGTACACACCTTGAGAAGAAGAAAACTGGACACCAGGAATACACTCCTGGGCCTAGAAGGCACTTTACCTGCCCAGAGTTCTGTTCCCCCTTTTTACATAGACATCCATCATCCAGGTCTCTAAATAGCTGGTGCTAGATGCCAAATACTGAATATTAGGCAATGAATAACATTCCTGGTCCTCAAATTGCTCATAATATTTGTATCCAGCCTCAAGTCAGGGCAGCGCTTTCTGAACCCCTAGTCTCGGAAGAAATCAGCGTGAGGCATGAATAAGAAACATCTGTGTCTCAAGGAAGACTCTTTATTTGGGAGGAGTGGGGTCCTGCCCAGCCCTGCCCTGCCCCCATCCCTCCATCTGACTTTACTTCTTCCGAATCTCCTGGGCCTTCTCCTTCCTGATCTCCTTGGCCAGCTCCCCAATCAGTCTCCAGTACTCATTGAACTTGAGCTCTGAGTCTTGATTCACGTCCAAGCTTTTCATCTTCTCATCTAAGGAGACCACATCCTAAGGAGACACCAAAAGGAGGAGAATAGATTAGCAGGAAGGGTTACTCAGATAAGAAGGACAAGAAGAACTTCCAACTAACATTCCTTTCCCACAGCACCAGCCTCCACTCCTTCAGGGCATACTGCTATGGTGTCTGTCCACTCCCAGGGGGCAGCAAAGGGACATGGGGAAAGTGACTTTGCGTGTTTGCTGTGGTGTAAATATCTCCCACCATGGCCAATCATGTGCAAACATGACGCCACCAACCACATTGCTGGGACAGACGCACATGCATGGGCAGCTCCAGCCACCACTGCACCCACTATTGCCCAAGATACTCGGGATGGCTCGCAGACATGGATTCTCCAACGCCCCTCAGCCTCTTCAAGGCACCTGCCCTCCTGCAAAGCTAGAGCCTTGCCAGCACTTACTGCTATTTCCATAACCCTCCGACTTCTTATTTCCCCAGTCAGGTCACTAGCCACCAGATCAGAGGAATGGCGGGGTCTCTGGATTTCTAGGAGGCCCTCGACAAAGGCTCTCACAATAGCCTGTGAAATAAGGATGCAACAAGCTGGGCCAAAAGGATCAAAGGAGCTGTTTCAAGATGACCAATCACAACCAGAGAAGGGTGCAGAGCTCCATGCTCAAAATTTGAATCAGCATTTGGGTGAAGATAGAGAAGACATCCCCCATCTGTAAACAGCACAAAGGTAATTCACAGAAGAACTGAGTGAGACTTTTTTTAAAAGCCACAGTCATGCTTAGTTACAAAGTCCTATGAGCACTGCCAGGCTAACATGCCCAGTGTAACATTATGTGTAACTAACTGTAAGCATACAATTAGTAAAGAGAAAGGACAAATATATAAGTATTAGGAAAGAAGAGTCAAGGACACCTCTTATTATATTAGCAATTATGTAATTGCATACCTGGGAAAAAACCAAGGGTGGCAATGGGTAACATTTCAACAAGTGTAAGCACTTGTTAGTGCTGACTGTTCAAGCATTATGCTACATACTTTACATGCTGCATTTAATCTTCACATCTGCTAGAGTTAAAGGCTCCACAAGTATGGGGACTGTGACCATCTTGTTCACCACTGCAGCCCAAAGCTGAGGATGGTGTCATGACAGGACATAACAGGTGCCCAATAAATATTGATTGGATAAATGCATGCCCCAAGCAACAAGGAAGATATTATTATGAGTCCATGTCACAGATGAGAAATTAAGGCTCAGAGGTTAAATAAAACCAGGTAGGAAAAGCAAGAACCTGTATTTGAACCTAGATTTTCAGACTCAGAGCTTATGCTCTTATCCTCTACTCTCTGTTCTTTCCCCAAATCATATTGGAAATGATAAAATGAGTCTCCCTAGTGGCCTAGGGGTTAAGTCTCAGCGCCATCACCCCATGGCCTGAGTTTGATCTCAGCCTGGGAGCTAGCCTACATGGCACAACAGACCTTTCCTGTCTCACCTGCCACTCCGCGTGGCAGTACATTTCAACAGATTCACTGCTGCTCCCCACTCTGTCTCTGGTGAATCCTCTCACCACCCTTGCACCTCTGGCCTATACCTCAGTTCTGTGTGCATAAATAAATAAATCTTTTTTAAAAAGTAATACTTTAGGTCTCTCCCCCATGGCACACTGAGAAGCTAAAGCCACTTCATCATGAGTTCGATCCCCACCCAGGAGGTGATCCACATGGCTCAACAGACTTCTCTTGTCTCACCTGCTGCTCCCTCAGCAATGTATTTCAGCTAATCTGCTTGTTCTGCTCCCCACCCTGTCTCTGGTGAATCCTCTCACCAACACCCCCACACCTCAGGCCTATACCCCAGTTCTATATGCATAAATAAATAAATCTTACAAAAATTCATTTCAATGTTCCGTTTCACCTAGAATTAAGGAAGTGTAAATCAGAACAAAACAGCATTAGCCCATATTAGGTTGACAAAGACGTGGAAAACAGGCATTTACATACACTGATGGGCATGTATTCTAGAACAACTTTGTTAAGAACCTGATTAGTTATGTCTATAAAAATTAAGAAAAACCTACTTTTTGAGCTAATATTTCTATTGCCACACATCTACCCTATGTAGGCATTTTCCATAAAAATGCATAAACAAAGATGTTTGTAAACAGGGTAAAAATGAACACGAGAGACTGAGACGTGCATCAACAGAGGAATGACCGCATAAATGGGGCCTGATCCACACAATGGAATCCAAAGCATTGTTTTTTTTTTCAATGGGAAAATATCCCCTAGGCACTGCTACATTTTTCAAAAGTTATCTGTACAACAGTAAGATGTGTTTCTTCATTCATTCACTCAACAATTTTGACCTTTTTTTTTTAACTGTTTTGCAATTTTGCTCCATATTTTACGGAACACATAGGAGTCAGGCAGGAGATAAAAGAGTGAACAAATTCCTTTCCTTGTGGGACTTACATTCTTGGTAATGCACACTTGTATAATGGAAGTCAAGTTGTAATGAACATGTTCTAACAGAAAATAAAGCAGGATAAAAGAGAGCAAGAGTGGTGATCTTTTCTATTCAGTGGTGAAAGAAGGCCAAGCTAAGGATTGCACTTGAGCAGAAATCTGAATTAAAGAAAGAATGAGCCTAGCAAATACCTGGTGAGCCAGTTCTGGAATCTGCGGGACCCCAAGGGCCTTTTGACTCAGTGAGGAAAGAATTCAATCTCAAAACCAGAGTTCAGGCCTCCCTGGTGGTGCATGGGGTTAAGTCTTAGCACTATGTGGTGCATGTTCAGTCCAGCCCTGGAGCTGACCTGCATGGCCCAGCAGGCCTCTCCTGTCTCCCCCAGCTGCTCCCCTCAGCGGTGTATTCCAGTAGATCTGCCTGTTCTGCTCCCCACTCTGAGTCTGTTGAATTCTTTCACCCATACCTCCTACCTGCTCCCTGCCCCCCACCTCTAGTCAGTACCCCAGCTCTTGTATGCATAAATAAATAAATCTTTAAAAAACAAAAACAAAAAGAAACCCAGAGTTCAGCAGAAAAGCAAGGACAGGAAAGCTCTCTGCACAGAGAGGGGTCCCCAGTGGGTTGCTGTTGGGACAAAAAGCAAATATTTATATGGTTATAGTGGGCAAGGAGTAAGGGTTCAGCCTCTGGGGATCTTATCATTGTGTCTCTTGTTGGGGCCTGTAGGGTCCCCTAGGCTACCTGGCCTGCATTCCCTGAAGTGAGCTTCGGTCCAATGCTTTAGCACTGAGTTAACTGTGTTAATATTCTGAATTCCATTTTTTTTTAAAGATTTATTTGCTTATGCACACAAGAACTGAGGTACAGGCCAGAGATGGGGGGGAGGTGAGAGGATACACCAGAGACAGAGTGGGGAGCAGAACAGGCAGATTGTAGAAGTACACTGCTGAGGGGAGCAGCGGGCGGGTCAGGAGAGGTCTGCCACGCCATGTGGGTCACCTCCAGGGTGGGAATGAACTCGCACTGAGGGTCTGCAGCCAGCTTGCAGTGCTGAGTCATAACCCATTGTGCCTCCATTGAGGGCCTGAATTCTATTTTTACTGGGCTGAGGGCAGTAAATGATAAATGGGCCTGGGGCACCTGGGTTTGGGGCACTATTTCGTTTTCAGTTTAAGAAATGGGCTTGGGACAGCTAGCAACAACAAATGTTGGCGAGGATGTGGAGAAAAAGGAACTCTCCTGCATTGCTGGTGGGAATGCAAACTAGCACAACCACTATGGAAAACT